CTGTTCACAGTAAAAAAAACTGTCATTAATGAGTGCCCTATTAAGAAATTAACATGATTATTACACTAAACGCATAGAGTATTAAAAGCAAATAACAACTTATTTCTTCAGTTTTTACATCATAGCAGATTTCATGGAGATTCATTATAGCCAAAGCAGAACCGAAAATACACAATGGATGTTGCGTTTTGCACAATAAATAAAAAATCTGATAGTTTATAAATCTGATAGTTTCTCAGTGGTTTTTTTTGGGTGGGGATGATTGGAAGATATTTTAGAAAAAAAGACCCGTTTCTAAGTCTGTAACCTCATCTTGAAGGTCAGGTAACATGAAATATTCCACGTTTGATATAATACAAATCTATATCACCGTACAACTTTGATTTTTTTTCCATTTAATTGATAATTTATTTGCATATTCTAGCTTGTGAAAAAATGTTGCACCATTGAAAAGATCCAGGCTAAAGTATGACTCATTCCAGTTTACTTACTGTGAAGGACTTTGATTGAATTCCAATTCTGTAGTTTGATAGTTTTATATTGCAATCAATGTGAAATTACTGACATTTACATTTAACTGCAATTTTAACATATATTTTATATTTTTTAATACATTGACTGCAATTTTAATAAATGATCATTTTAAAATTATCATCACCTACAACAAAAAAAAACATAGTTTGCATTAAAACTCAATTTTATTACAACAGTATAAATGAGTATGATAATCTGAAATAAACACAGAGAATGCTGGGGAATCTCAGCAGGTCTGGCAGCATCTGTGGAGAGAGAAACAGAGTTTATTTTTTGAGTCTGGTATGCTTTTTTATCAGAGCTATGATAATATGACTTGCAGGTTGAAAACTGTTTGACTGCTTGCTTTACTTCCAAAACTGGATGAGCAAAAATTTCTTGTAACTTAATTTTGAACAGATCAGAGTTATTGTCTGCATTCACCATCACAAGCTCCATCACTAGTCACTGATTCCATCCTTCACATTGGCAACTGTCTGAGGTATTTTGCATCCTTGAAGCTGTACTTTATCTCAGACGAGTTTTCAACGACATTATTTCTTCCCATCACTAAGAACATCTAGATTCACTTCATAGAATCCCTTCAGTGTGGAAACGGGCCCCTTGGCCCAACAAGGCCACACCGACCCTCAGAGCATCCCACCCATCCCCCTATAACCCACCTAATCTACACAACCCCCAACACTACGGGCAATTTAGCATGGCCAATCCACCTAGCCTGCACATCTTTGGACTGTGAGAGGGAACCCATGCAGACATGGGGAGAATGTGCAAACTCCACACAGGCAGTCAACCGAGGGTGGAATCAAACACGGGTCCCTGGCGCTGTGAGGCAACAGTGCTAACCATTGAGCCACCGTGCCACCCCACTTCTACAGCTTCATCTGACTTCATTCCTCTCTCAGTTCATTTGGGGCTGCAACCTTCATTCGTGCTTTTGTCACCTTTAGAGCTAATTATTCTGGTCAGCCTCCAACATCCTAACCGCTGTAAATTTGATGTCATCTAAATCTGTGTTGTCCCAGTTCTAATGTCCACCAAGATCTATCACCCATCCTGACTTATATTGGCCAGCAGTTTGTTAATGCTTGATTTTAAAATTATCATCCTAAAATCTGCCCATGGCCTCACCTCTTCTTATCCTTGTACTCTCTTTCAGCCTCACAATCACCCTAGTTCATCTAATTCCAGCTTCTGAGGCATTGCCAATTTTTATTGCTCCACCATTGGCAGTCATGCCTTCAACTGCCCAGGTCCTAAGGTCTGGCATCATAGAATAGAATCCCTAGAATGTGGAAGCAGGCCATTTAGCCAATCGAGTCCACACTGACCCTCCAAAGAGCATCCCACCCAGAGGTAACTGGAGCACCTACAGGAAACCCATGCAGACATGGAGAGAATGTGCAAACTCCACACAAACAGTTGCCCACAGGAAGTCTCTCCTTAAAGCTGTCAGACTCTCCATTGCTCTTTCTTCTTTTAAGACACTCCTCAAGACTTAGCCCTTTAACCAAGCAATTGGTCATCTGCCTTAATATTCCCTTATGTGCCTTTTTTTTGTAACACTTCCATTAAATGTCTTGGCATGGTTATTGAGTTAAAGGTAGCAATTAAATACAAGGTATTGTTGAAATATTAATAACATAGGCTTTGTCCCTTTTGTTATTTGTGTTGCATTTCTTTTCAGTTATTACATCATTTGGCATATCTTTCAATAAACAGCATGTATTAGTTGGTCAGGTCACTTTTATAATTGCTAGTTCCGTATTTTCCTACCAGTGAATTAATTCAGAATACAAATATAACCCAGAAATAAAATGCATGTATAATGCACTTTGGGATACCCCTCCCTTAGTTTTATCAGCTTTTTCAAATTTTACCTGTCCTTAAGTTCCCTCGTGTCACCCACTTTGTGGATCTACATTAATGACCAGACATGGTTGCACAAGGACAATTTCAAAATTTGGAAACGAGATAAAACTTGGATGTTTTATGAACTTGAAGATAGTGATAGACCAAAGGAGGACAAAGTAGGCTGATGAAATGAGGGTAAATTGCAGTTGAAATTTACTGCAGTCACTGCAAAGTGATTTATTTCGGTAGGAAGAATTAAGAGAGTAAATATAAATTAAAGTGTAAAATTCTAAAGAGAGGACATGAACAGAGGGACCCGAGTATATATTTTTGCAAATAATTGAAGGTGTCAAGGCAGATTAAGAAATTAGTTGACAAAGCCTACAGAATTCTGGGTTCTATAAGTAGTGGCATAGAGCACAAAAGCAAAGCAGTTATGATAAATCTGATTAAAACACAGATGTGGCTTCAACTGGAGCATTGTGTCCAATTTTAGGAAGGATGTGAAGACATTGGAGAGGGGTCAGAAATGATTCACAAACATGGTTCTAAGAATGAGGAGCAGATTAAGAGTAGATTTGTTCAATGTGTTCAAGATCATAATGGGTCTGGACAAGGTAGAAATGACAGACAGAATCTTACAGTGGCCTGAATGACCCCGAGTGGGCTCTGAAGAGATTTGTGGCAGAATTGGGCGAGACATCTGGCGAGGTACTAGCTGCACGCACCTATCATGCATGGACACTGGCATATCACATTTAACAATCCCTCACAAATATCATTATATCTCATAGGATAATTAGGAAGCACAGACATGCATTACAGGGCACACTGGCAACTAGCATTGAAAGGCTGCTATGAGGACACTTTGGACCAAGCTGCATCTCAGGACTGCTCATTTGTTCTCTTAGAGTTTGTGTACTTTGTGCCGACATGCGTGCTCGTACCATCCATGCCTGTTAGTGCATTGGCGTTTCAGCTAGAGCCAAAGGCTATTAGTGGTGCTGTGAGCTTTTGTGCAGATACACAGACAATCTGCCTTGACAAAGAAGGGAGACGTCATCTTGACGAGTGGCACTCCATGAGATCAATCCAACACTTACAGCATATGCCAGCTACATGCACAGCAAACACGTTTATTTAGAAAGTGAGAGGAGGCTTGTCCTCAGTCCAGTCAAGAGAGGGGGTACACTGTCAGTCAGGGGATGCCGGTGCCATCAGTCATGGGCAGTGTCTGCTCACATTTCAAGGGCTTGGCCCTGGTCAGCTATATGCTTAGACTACTCAAATTCAGGGGATCTGTCCCAGTGCAGTCGGAGTGTGGGCTGCAATCATTCCTGTAGTCATCACAAGTGGTCAGAGGAATTGCGAGCTAATATGGAGGAGCTACAAACACAGTAACAGGGGTCTGGTCAATCACATCTAAGGGCTGCTTGCTGAGGTCAGTTAGGATCTGGGCCATATACAACCCTGGCGGTCCATCCATTGCTAGTTAAGGAGGCTGCAAGGGGAAGTGGGGGAATAGCTGCTCAAAAAGGATGGGATGGTCCAGGCCATAGGTACGAAAGCCAAAGCATTTGCGGAGGTGGGGACAAGGGCAGTGATGGGGAGTTGGATCTCAAGGGGCACGTGGGGGTTTGAGGGAACAGCATCACAGGGCATGGTAGGCTATGGGGGACATTACTGTCAGCACTGACAATTAATTCAACCTCTACAGAGACAGTGTAAAGGACTGGGATGTGCATCGTTACGGTGTAATGTCAGAGCTCAGGGGCAAGGAGGACAATTGGAGGCAGTGGGTGTCTATTTGGGGTTAATGGGTGAAAGTAGACTGTTGCGGTAGTTCAAAGTAAAAGGGGATACAGAGGCTTTGAAAGTTGTACCTGCTGATCAGGCAGAGCCCGATGCTGACAGTGTACACATCACATGTCATTCCAAAGATGTAAATCAAAAATGGCTGAGACTAGACAAGTCAGTGTCATTTTGATGGGTCAATGTGTGGGATCTGTGTCAGTTGGATACTAGGAGATTGCGGGGCAAATACATGAAGCAGCTTTTACAAAATGCAGCTACATTTTATTTGCAATCATTTCATTGTCCACTTGCAACGCATGCAGAGTCAATGTGCTGAAGGTTCAACTATTGCTCAAAGGTAATTTACTCCATGCCATTGGTCCTTACAAATTGAACACTGGCATCTCAATGATGCTGAAGTAAATAGTGATGTTTTAAGATAAGGTGAATGCTGGCCAAAGGTGACTCATTACTTGTGCAACTTCCAAGAGGGCTACAGGAGGTGGAGACTATCTTTTCATCATCTTTCCTGTCAGTTTAACAATGGTCTGTACTGAATGCAATGAAAAGCTGAATGATTGATGTGAGTCTGGGAATGGGAAAGGGATTAAAACAAGCAGGCACTCTCTTTTGATGTAACTTGCTGGTCTCTTATCCAGCGCTGCACCTTCAACAACTTGGTTCCCACACTGAAGCTGAATGAATGAATGAATGATTGAGACATGGCCCTCATTAATGGAGTACAGGATGTCTTACTGTGCGGAGGAGTGTGCTCAGCCCTCATCTGCACAGCATGACATCAGTGAATCCTCTGAGAC